TCTTGTTGAAACTAACCCCAGATTCCTCCTTGTCTCATGCCCTTATAACAGGCTGCAGGTTACAGTCCCCATTTCCAGCAGAGAACAGAAGTTCTTCAGAGGCATTCTTGGGGGGAAAAAATGTAACTTCTGTGTGATAATGATGTACACAAACAAAAGGAGGAAAAAAAAACAAACCAACCTTTGTGGCTATGGGTTTTCATCCTCTTTGTTCCACTTAATTATTTGTAGGGTTTAATTCAGGGATCTTAGGGATTTGGCCATTGGATGGCTGTAAAGTGCTTATTTATGGGTGCCCAAAAGGTAACGGAAAGTTTTATGTTCAACAATATATTTTTATAGCACAGTTGCTAACCTTCTGTGTCACCTAGCCAGCTTGGGTTACGCTTCCACATGCACACACAAACACTGGTGCAGGTCTAGGCATAAGACAGGAATGAGATCTGTATGCTCATATACCCCAGGATGAGCTCTGTGGCCATCATGCCAGAGCCTTGAACTAAACAACTTCAGTTCATGCTTCTGTTCTAAGAAAGTTTTGACCCAGCAGGGAATTGTATGGACTCAGTGTTTGGTACGTTCTGTGTTTAGACATGGGGCTTGGGTGACAGACTTGGAGACCTTAAGGTGCCATGATTGATTAGAGTTAGTGAGAGTGCAAAAGCACTTTGCATTTGATTAATGGCTTCCCAGGCACTCAGCATTTTCCATAGTGATATAATTTTTTTTCTTAGTGGATGTTTATAGTGACTACTGTTATGCTGCATGTTTTTTATTAATCATTAGGAAGCTGGCTATCCAGGCAACTGGAATTAAATAATTCATCTGAGAATTCATTATAATCAAAGGGGCAGGCAATTAATGACTAATTAAATCCACTGAGATGCTGTGGGAAAGGAGTGTTAATCTTGTTGCTCAGCTATGGTGGAAAGTGGACAGATACAGAGCTGTTCAATGTTCATTTGGAAAAGATGACATTTCTGTAACATAATAGGTTACATAAGCACATCAGCAGTGAACTTACTACACCTATTCACTTCCCTAGACACAATAAGCTGAAAGAACCCTTTGGATTCTTTCCTTTTCCGTAGTCTGGATTAATTACGATGACTGAGGACTTTGAAAGGCTGCAGATTCCTTTCAGTGAGGAAAAGCATCCAGAAGACAGATTGACTGGCTTAGTTGGTTGGAAAGCCTCTGGAGTGTACACTGGCTGAAATACGTAGTTAGATAGGCTCACTCACACACCAGAAAAAAAGGGAGATGGAATAGCACAACATTGGCACTATTTATGTTACTGGGGCAGGACACGTTGCGGAATTCAGACCCAAATAATTAGGAAATGCAATAATACTAGTTCAGAAACTTTTATGATCTTGTTTTATCCAGGACAGAGTTAGTCAAAAAGAAAATTGTCATAATGATCTTTTTCTTACCTAGTTGTAGTGTCTTTTCAGAAAACAAATGCTTCATCTGTCATAGTTGCTAAAAAACATAGTGTATGTGTGACTTTCCTTTTGTCTAGTATCTGTTAGATATTCCAGTCATTCCAGTTCATAGTGAGCCAGTGTGTACATTGCGGTTAATAGTGTTACAACAGAAAAGTCAGGAATGAATCTGAGGAGACTAAAATCTGCTCTTGCCCGGAGTCAGTTCCTACTGGTGAGGAGAGAGGAATTTTGAAGTTCTTTGCACAGAGGCTCTCCTGCTCGTTATAGAACCTTTCGGCAGGAACATGGTCATACCAAACAGATCCCCAGCATGCCAAAATCAATATAGCTACCTTGATTTAATCAAACTAAAGTGGACTATCTAATGTAAAATATGGATCCCCAGTGAAACATACTCTGTTGAGTTGCTCATACCTGGACATTAGCAAGTTTCATGGAAATCAGTTCTTTCAGACTCCTCCTTAATTACTCCATGTACTTCTAAAACTTAACTAGACAGAAGCCAGTCATAAAAAATGCTGTGGTAAATCCCAGTACGGCCCAGGGAAGTTCATAAGATTGTCCCTAAAGGTTCAGGGAAGAGAATACAACTTTTTGGCAATAGGTTTCATGATCACTAGATCCTGACAAAGGAAGATACTCATCCCATCCTAGTTCAGGGCTGGATAGAAACAGCTTGGCATCTTTCAATTGCTGTGCGACCGTAGAGGTTTCTTTTTCATCAAGCCCCTGCTTCCTTTCACAGCACATTTGGCCACATCACATACAGTGGGGTAGGAGGCCAGGAAATAGCCTCTGCATGGAAAAATCTAGCTGCCATTTCTATTAACTCATCCAGCAGAATCACCTTCTCAGCGATTGTTAAAGCAGCTGCATTTATTTTTTCTGGTGAATTGGCTTCTATGGGCAGGCAGAGAATGTTTTTAATGTATCTTTGAAAAAACTTTGGGTTTAATAATAACTCACTTTTTGCAGAGTAGCATGTGAAAAAATACATTCACAACATGGATCTGGCCAAACTGGTCAGACACTAAAACTTTCCTTCACACTAGATCTTGGGCTAAAGCAGAGCTCAGTGAGAACCTGCTGGAAGAACAACTGCTGGTATGATTACCTTAGTCTGACCGGACGCAACCAGGGCTTTAAAACCAGCTCTGCTGTGACTAGATGCTTGGGCTTTGCATGTGGTTGTGAGCTACCTGACCCTTCATGAGATCACCAAAAGCCCCTTTTGGGACTTGTTTGTTTTTTTTTTTTCTCAGGATGCAGTGTTTCCATAACATGTGGTAGATTCTGTCTTAAATCAAAGTTGGTTGATTTCCTAGTAATGCTATATTCTAGTAAGTCTTGTGGTCTGGTCAGTAGTCCAGACCACACTAGATCGTATCATATCAATATGGTCCCTCTTGGCTTCAGAGTCAGTGAATCTAAGTATATTCAGCTTCAAAGCCTCCATTCAAGTATTTTTAATGCTGAATTTAAAAACAATATCTGATTTGAGGTACTTGCTGGAAAAAAAACAGCATATGTAGGCAGGCTAGCAATAAAGAGAGAATGCTGCAATCCCCTAGCCTTAGCTTCACACAAAAAAAAAAAAAAAAGAAAGGAAGGTCAGATAAGGACAGATAGTGACTTTGTAAGGAAGGAAGCTTTGCAATCTTCTAGTCTGCAGTTGCTGCACCAAAACAAGTCATCAGGAGCTTTCAAACCTCACAGTTAATGTGGCCTTTCTACTGAGCTGTTGTTTTGATTATTCACTCTGGTTTTCACTCTCACCCCTTTTTTCCTCATCATGTGCAATAAAAACTCCATGTACTTCCTGGCTTATTGGGATGCAGAAGAAGATTGGAAATGCCACTCACAGAATTAGTTTCTAAGCAATTGTATGTGAATGCCCAGTTTCTGCTCTCATCACAGACTGGGATGCATTTTGGTTTCTAATTGTTCACTTATTTTCATAGAAAAACTGAGATTCAGATACTTTGCCCATGAAGACCTGACTAGCAGAAACAGGCAATTCAACAGTAAGAGCCCAGCTTGACCCTGAGGAACACACAGAATCATCTCCTTACAGGGAATATAGAGGAGTATTAAAGCTGTGACAGTTCTGCAGGACCGTCCTCAGGCAAACACTGCATACCATACTAATGCTTTTCAATTACTTCTACTTTGTAGCAATACTGAAGAAGCAGGTGCTGAAATCACACCCTTTTAATTTTATTGAATGAAGGCTGCTGCTTTTGAATACCAGATCCTGCTATGAAGATAACCCATGTGGTTACAGTGCCCTAGCTCCTGGCAAAGGCAGCCAGAATCCCGGGTTAGGAACCTGCCTCATGCCACTCAGCAGCAAAGTGTTAGTTATACCTCTGCACAGCATCAGCTTTCCTGCCTTGTTGTGTTGTGCATTGCCTTGCACCCCATTGCCACAGTTTGTATTCAGACCTCCACAAAGCCCAGGCAGCTTTAAATGCCTGAGCTTCTCTAGCCACTGCCTGTGAAGAGGGGATGTGTCTGGCAGCAGCAGGCATGGGAAACAGCAATGGCTGGTAGGAACCTGGAAAGGGCCAGGTCACCACAGGCGCCAAAGTCTCTTGAGTGTATCCAGGTGCCAGTAAAGGCTCCTTCCTCTGAAGAAGAGAAGGTGGATTCTGTAGGAATCAGGCTTTGACCTGAAAACATTTCAGCATCCAGAACTCTGGATAAAGGAGACTTCAAGCAATGTTTTACACACAAATATTTGCTGGGTGCTGTTGGGATGATTTTCTAATGTCCAGGGATCTAATACAAATTATCAGTGAGGTTTCAGACAGAGGTCCTTATTCCTCACTTCCAAGTCAAAGCTCGGGAAACATTTTGGTATCCACTCTTAAACAGGTGCCCTATTATTTACCAGATCCAGCTACATTTTAATATAGAGGAAATTACTCCTGTGCCCACGTAGTTTATAAACCACTTCAGGATCAAAACAATTTCTAAGATGAGGAAAAAAGGTCTCAGGTTTCATAGGGAAAATTACTTGTTCCCTAGCTTAAATTCATAGCCTCTTCCTCTCTTTAAGTTCAGATTTGGAGACAAGTGTTGCAAATTTTAGCACAAGACATGTAGATGTTGATATTTTTCATGTCAAGCTGTTGGACACAATGAAGTGATGGGAGAATCTCATCCTTAATTTTAAAAATTGCACTTCTGGTTAAGAAACACTATAAAAATGAGACCAACTACACCTAGAAAAGCAGGAAAAAAAGGCAAGGTAAATAAAAAGATACCAAACTCATTGTATGCATAAGGGTCTGATGGCTTGGGGAGGTGAAATATTCAATTTCGGGTTGATAGCGTTGTGGAATTCAGCTGAAAATGTGTATGAACTAATGGATGGAAGAAAACATATGCTATGGTCTCCTTGCTATACTGCACACACTTGATCTCTATTGATGGCATATCTTACCATTCCTAGAAAGCATAGTTTAGAAGTCAAGAAATTGTAACCATAATTTCAGAAAAGAGATTTTAAGTCTGTTTGCCTGATTTCTGTATTGCTGTTCACAGGATTTCTATGAAGGTATCTTGAAAGTTCTTGGAGAAGAAGATGAAAAGGAACAGGAAGAAATTACACTCAAGCAGGGCTTAAGTGAACTCCCTGAAATTTATGAATTACACCAAGACATCCTGAGAGAACTGGAAGAAAGAGTCCTTAAATGGTAAGTATGGAATGGCATGGCTTGATGGCCTTAATATACCCTCTGCAGCAGGTGGGTGAACTCATCAGTGTTCCCTTGACCCCACTAGCAGGGAGGATGGGATTCCAGCAGAGGTGAAAGAACCTGAACTACTTTGGCAGATTTTGCATACAGGCAGGTGGGAAGTAAATGTAGAGGCTGTCAGGCTAAGAAACCAAATACTGAAACATCTGCACAGTGCACAGCCCATGACTTCGAGATGGCGCTGTCAGTCAGTGTGAGGATAGCCTGCTCCATAGCATTATTCTCTGATGCCAGCTCATAGTCATCACCAAGCAGCTTCACACTCATGGCCTGAAGGTCACAGATTCATGCCATGGGAGGCAGGAACATCAGACATCAGAACTGATCCTAAGGAAGATCATCTGATTGCAGAAATCTACATAGCAACTGTGTAGATCTCAGATACGGGACACCCCCTTGATCCCAGCACCAAGGCAGGGCTCTGCACAGGCTAGGCTTCCAAGCCAAACAGACACTGTCAGCCTGCTGAGGGACTCCACCTAAGCCAAACATCCTTACAGGGTGAGGTCTTTCCATGAGATAAGACGACCCTGCCTAGGACAAACAAAGCTCCAAAATTCATTCAGTTAAGGAGACCTCTCACTTAAACCAGGCTGCTAGGTGCTAGTCTATCAAACTGCTGCAATAAGAATGTCTAAGAGAAATTACTTCTGCAGACCCAAGCTGACTAAACCTACAGCAGCCAGCACAGCCTCTGGCCTAGACTGAACTACTCTGGCTCTCACAGCTTATGATGGACTGTTCAGCCCCACACCTCCACCCTGCTAGACTCCAGGAGGCAGTGGTCACTGACTATACCAGCACTGCCACTGAGCAGTTAATGAAGTCAACTATATGAGGAGAACTTTTCAGTAACAATCCTAAATGCAGCGCACAGCTCTCCTTGTCAGCCCTGCACACAACAAGGAAAGGAAAGGCTAAAGGGAGCTGTATATTGGTTCATGTTCACCAAGGGACTGTTACAAATGGCAGAAAGACTCCAAAAATTTCATCAGTGATTTATGATTTGTATACTCATAACAGAAACAGAAGTGGTGTTTCCAGCTGGGATCTAAAATGACTTGTTGTGTCCTAAAGAAGTCACAGACCTAATCTAGCACCATGCTGCCTGTTCCCTAAGACAAAAGGGACGCAACTGGAAATGCCCTAGGATTCTGTCCAGAACTACTCTGTGGCACTGAGGAAAAAAGAGGGCTGTATTGCAAATGCTGCCAACACAATAGAATGACACATTGTACAGGGCTGCGCTCATACAGGTTCGCAGATCACCACCACCCTCGAATCTTCCAGTAAGTCCTTCCCTGTGCCTGTGCTCCCCTAGACACTCTGTTGCTCTGACACACCCAGGAACTCATGTTCCTCTCTTAACTATGATTACTCTTTTGCGATCTCAGATTTTGTCCTGTTCTCTCCTTGTACGTGCTTCGTAAATATTTCAATACTGTGCAACTGGGTGCTGAGACAGATGACGGTGGGGCAGTGCTGAGAAGGGGGCAACGAAGGAGACCTGAAGATACGATATTACAACTGAAGATGTTATATTATCCCCCACAACCTGCGCTCAAAGCACTGCAGCAGTTGGAAGATCTGTTCAGGGAAGCGGAAGCTGTGCCATTCTTCCCACTACGGACACACAGTGCTGCCATGGCAAAGGCACAGCCGAAGGATCAGCCCCTCATGGTGCCTGTCCTACAGCAGCCCATTTTGTTGTCCAGTATGTCAGTGAAGCACTCCCTCTTTCCTGCCATTTAACCTAGGCTTTGGCTGCACAATGTCCTTAGCCACTGTGGGTCTAATACAATGAGAAAGAAATATGGCTCCTCTTCTTTAATATTTATTTATTTATTTGCTGCTTCTTTTCTTTCTGTGGCCTTAGGGAGGAACACCAGAAAGTTGCTGATGTTTTTCTCTCCAGAAAATCAAGGCTGAATCACCACACAGCATACATTATGCAGTTTGATATGAATTTGGCTTTGCTAGATGAAACTTGCCTTAAATATTCCCAACTGGCTACCATAATTCAGGAGTTTGAGGTAAGGCTCCGATGTTTTTTTACCTGCACTAATGCATGGCTGTGCCACAGGGCTTACTCAAAAATATTTTTTCTGCAACTCCACCGGTGTTCACACAGGGTAGAAAGGGAGAACAGCTCTCTTCACACATCCTGGTGCTAAAACTGAAGTGAGGTGTTCATAAGTGCATGATGTGCTTCTGTTTCTGTGGCTGTGTCTGTTATCCACACACCTCTGTGTGTACATACAAAATGTATGTTTGTGAATCTACAAATCTGTGAGTATATTTTGCTGAAAAAGATGCACATAGTAGAGCAGTTTCTCAGTCACATATTAACTTATCAAGCTCTTTGAGGATGTGTTATATTATTATTATTACCATATCTTCATATCTTCTCTTCTTTCACTGCGTTTCCATCCTCTGTTTTGTACTGGGTCTGGCCAGGATGAAGTTAGGGTTAGCCTGTATAAGTGCTTAGCTGCTGGCAGCAATCAACGCACATCTTTACAATTGCATTTCTCTGCATTTTTAAATGCATGTTAACTGCTTCCTCTGTTTACAGAGGATGTTGTGGCAGGCAACACTGAACTGCACAGGAAGACACAAACTCCACTGGCCAGACACATACAGGGTTCTTTTCATCTAGACTCCCTGAGTGGTCTGTAACCTCTAGGCCTGTAACCTCTGGCCCTGTAGCAAGGAACGTGTATTTTTCAGTTGTGTTAATTCAGTCATCCGTGCTGAATAACTGAAAAACACCATCAAGATACATGTGACAGAAATTCCATGATTCCTGATTACATTTTAAAGTACTGGAAATGTGACCACATAATTTCAAAAGCATAAACCCATATGTGGATGGGAAAGTTCAGCTGGGCTACACTGATTCTTTTGAGCTAAAATGGTTAAAAGCTATGCTGCTTTATTGTGGGTCTAGAACCCCTGTTTCTTATTATCTTTATCTGGTAAGAGAAATAACAATGTTTACTTGGGTGGCAGAGGGGCTGTAAGGATAAATTAGTGATCAGTCCTTAAAGGTTATTTAGAATGGCAGCTCTATGGGGTATGAATTGTGTTTTTCTCTGCAGCACATGTGGAATATTGAGGATAACAATTAATTTCAAAAGACATTTGGAAGTCAGCATTTACAGATACCTTGCAGTCACCACAGTTATTTCCTGTTAGCAGCTGAGGGGAGCTCTGATGGCTCACGCTGCTCTGAACATGAACTTAGCAAATGCAGGCTTTTTACTGATAGGCTGTATTCCCAGCATCCCTCCCAGCCATATGCCTATACACTTCTGTCTTAACTATCAACCTTGAGAATTAGTTCTTATTTCTAAGAAAGCAGATGAGGCTTTTTCTAGGATAAGATCAGCAGGATTTTGCCCTAGAATCAGTGAGCTCTATAACTTCTTGCCCTCTTGCATGCATGCATACACACACAAATGAGGAGGAGGTATATCTCAGTCCTTTCATATTGCATTTTTTTAAAGCATGACCATTATTAGCTTTCCAGTTTAAAAACACACAGTTTAGGGCCTCATCTTGTTTCTGGCACCTTTGATGAGTATGGGGGATTGGGAATGCTCAGAACAACCCTGAATGAATATTTGATGAGAGCAGTCAGTCAGTTAAGAGTAATACACTAACATGAAACATCTTTACTGCCTTGGAAAATGCTGTCCCTTGACAGCCTCCTTTAAACAGTTAGATTCCTGTTCTCATTTTGTCCCTTCACAAGTGGCAAACATTTCAGAAATGTTGGTCAAAGAACACCAAAACCCTGTGAAACTTGACTGGGTTTTGGACTCAGACCTTGTAAGCAACCAGCTAGGTTTTGTGTCACTCCTCTTGAGCCTTGTAACCTGTTTCTTGGTACTTCTGGAGGTGTGGAGGGATTGAGTTTTGTGGCTTGCTGTTGTTTTTGCAGCAATGTTGTGACACTTAACTGATACACAGCAAGTTTCCTATTTTAATTGAGTCCTTATAGAATAGAATCATTTAGGTTGGAAAAGACCCTTAAGATCATCAAGTCCAACCGTAAACCTAACACTATCACTAAACCATGTCCCTAAGTGCCAGGTCTTTTAAATACCTCCAAAGATGGTGACTCAACCACTTTCCTGGGCAG